AATGCCTGTCAGAGGGGCATAAGACACAGCAGTCCCCACACCAAAAGCCTCCTCTCTTCTGATTTCATGACTAGGGTCTACAGTGTTCCTGCACCATGTGCTGCTGATTGCCAATCAGGTTCACCTGGGCAGAGCTAAAGGAAAAAGAGAGAGGGTAAAGGGACTAACAGAAAAGGATAACATATACAGCTGTTACAACTGGGACAGTTCCTCCCAGTGTTCCCCACATGCTGTACCAAAAGTGGACAACAGGAGGAGTTACAGTGAAGATTAAATAGACATACATGGTAGAAGTTAACAGCTTGAGTTTAATACATTACATTGCTTTCTTTCTCCACAGCCTTTTATACTACCTTAACCATCAAACCTAAACAACTGCACTTGTCAAGTCTTACATTCTTTTCTGTAAGACTTTGAAATAACATTCATGCACAAGATACAATTTAATGCAAGTAGCTTTTTGTATAATGAAATAAAAGAGATGATTCACAAAACTTCACAGCTTCTTCAAGGAAAGTTGGACTAACAGGTTTACAGTATTTAAAATGGCATTAACGTAGTATGATCTCCTGAGAGTCCTCCACATTTTAAAAAAGTTGAGTTAAAGTTGAGAACATCTGCCCCACTGACACTTTCTCATTAAACATTTTCCTTTTATGAGTGATCAGGACAAAATAACTTGAATGACCTCATTACGACAAGTTGCATAATGTTTTTTCAATCAACTCCAGACACTGTCCTTTTTTATTCTTGTAAATGGGTTGTGTTCATTTGCCTGTTTTTCCTCTCATTGGACATTTAACCTCTTCTTTGATAAATTCTTATTTCCTGCTTTTTTCTAAATAATCCGGCTTTATTTCCTTGGCCCTACCTCTCTTCTTCTGTCTTGTGTGAGTCTTGGGACAATTACTTGTTTCTCAAGGAATCCCTACAATAATCTCTCAGAAGTTGCTCGTTATTGATTGTAAGATCGGCGTTAAGCAGAAAGGGAAAGAGAGTAAGATACCATAATATATTTTCAAAAACTGTAGTTGTTTGTCGATTATTTATACATTTATTGTTGACAGTGCATGACACACATTTAAAAAAAAAATCTCTTCTAATTTACAGAGTGTGGCTCAACAACTTGTTTTTATCTTTATTCCCGGACAAAACAGTAAAAACACAGAAGAAACAAAATAGCTGTAAACAAGAGCTCTATACGTGGCTTTAGTATATTTGAATTTTCCCGCTTTTCCAAAGAATGGCTGGTTTAATTTACTATGTGACTACTCTGGAAATACATTCGGATTGCAGAGAAGTTAGCAACATGAGATGATTATTACCAACAACACTACAAGTTACACCTGATATTTAGGACTGAACTAAATGAAATTAAAACAAGAGTTTGTCCCTAACAACTTTAATTCAACTATATGACCAGACAGACATTTTCTTATAAATATAGCCGCTGTGATAACTTTTTAATTAATTGACTTCCTGGGAAGCCTCATTTTCTGAATGCTTTATGTTAAACTATATTTCTTGTTTATTTTTAATGTCTGATGTGGCTCGAGGAGTCTGGATCTTTATTTCCAGGAACAATTTCACATCAAATGTCTGAGCTGGCACACAATGAAACACCTGTGGAAAGACAACACAGTTTCAAACAGCAGCATCAGAAAGTCACCTTGAAAACATTTCAGACTACAAAGGGCAAGCAAAGCCTTGCAAATACCTTTCAAATCTGCTTCAAAAGTGCAAATCAACTGGGAAACCAAGTGAGCTTTACATTTTGAGATTGAATTTGAAGTAAAGCTAGGAACAGCACACTTGAGGAGAACGAGTCGCTCAGTCTCTTTCAATGTTGCTGTCTTTTTTTCCATAGATAAAACATGTTGTGTATTATGGGGTCGGGGAGATGGAAACGCTGACATGCTTTTGGTTGTAAATGTGTTATGCATTATACACTCACAAATGAGGGACCACATGGTTCCACACTTACTTGTCTCAGATATCTTGTCCTGATGTTAGCCTTAACAATATTTTGTGTTATGAATAAAAACATAAAACTATGTTTTGAGAACAAATTACATGTTCTGGAAAATTAAAAAAAAAAGTAGGAAAAAGCACAAGACAGCAATCTATTAGTTTTGACATTAGCATGTCCAGGAATAAGTGTTTAGATGAGTCACTCACAAGCCATTACAAAATCATGCTGATGAATGCGATCACATCCTAGCCTAGATTTGACAAACACAGGAGGTTTGGACTCTTGTATAAATGACTGTTTCATTTTTTGGTTAAGCATTCTAAAGATGTCTTCCACTATACACAATAAATAAAACATACTTACTTTGAATCATTATTAAATACATCTTAAATTATCATCCATATCCAATAAATCATATGATCTTTTACTTGTGCTCAAAATCTACTTGATAGATTTTTGCAATGTTGGTTCTTATGCAGAAATAAACGTTATATCCTTATTTTTGACTGCTTCCTGAGCTCACTGGTGAAAAATGCTCAGATATCTTTTTGTTGAAACTCCTTTACTTTCAATGGTCAAGTTAAGGAAAAGTGTAATAATCTGTGTTGAAAAATAAAACTACTCGTCACATTTGACACAGATTATTGGAACCTTTTAATACAAGGTATAATATAAGTTTCAGGTTGATATATCAGGTTGAGTAATTTCACCAGCCTGATTTCTTGGAACAACAAAGTCCAATGACAACCATGGTCTGCCTCATGCCTTTCTTTTGGTAATTGTGGCTAACTTTCCAAAAAGAATCAGGTTTCAGAGCATGTTATCAAACACCTGAAACACTGAAAACTATAAACTGGTAAAGATGAAGACTTAATCTCAGACAAGTCACAAAAAGCCTATTACAGTGTACCAAAACTCAGGTTTGTGTGTTGAAAGCTGGACAAGAATTTCCAGGTATTCAAAGAAAAAGAAAGCACATTATGAAAATAATTACTGCAATGCAATAGCTTCTTCTATCCTTTAAGCTACAAATATAAACAGCTTTAAATAAGTCAAATAACTTTCGGACACTCCTGGACTCTTTAAGCTCATTGTTTTGATTTTACAGCTCATTTAGTTTACTTCATGTTCAGTCTAAGCGTTGTTTAGTAGACCGCTGTTGTCAGCAAACAAACTCTGATAAAGCCATTAACCTGGGTTCAATGGGTTTATTAGAGCACAAGTGAAACACCAAGCAAACATACCTACAGAAAGTCATTATTATAGGAGAAGAGTGGAGCTTAAAGGTGGGCCTAAATGATCTTGGACTTGGATTTGTCACATGGCAGTCACTCCCGAGTGAGTTACTCGTCTGTTTCAGATTTTTGTCATCCTTCAAACAGTGGAGTGCTAGCTTATGAGTTTAGCTTGTGATTTACAGTAATGCAAATTGAACTCCAGTAGATGTTAGCCAATAAACGGTCAAAAATGCAACCTAAAAATGTGAATTTTCCTGTTTTTCATAGGGCTGCATGGTGGTGAAGTAGTTAGCGCTGTTGCCTCAAAGCGAGGACTTTCCTGGTTGGAATACCCATCGAACAGGAAACTCTCTGTGTGTAGTTTGCATGTTCTCCCTGTCAATGCGTGGGTTCTTTCCGGCTTCCTCCCACAACCCAAAGACAGGCTTGTTAGGTTAATTGTTGATTCTAAATTTTCCGTAAGTGTGAATGTGAGTGTGGCTGTTTGTCTGTCTCTTTACGTCAGCCCTGTGATTGACTGGTGAACAGTTCAGGGTGCACCCTGCCTCTCGCCCATGACAGCAGGGATCGTCTCCAGGCCCCCATAGATCCATAAATAATGGATGGATGGATGGATGTTTTTCAGTTGGTTTAATTATGAGAGTCAATTAGTTGTCGTTCCTAGTTTCTGGAATATTCCACTTGACTGCTGTTTTTGTGCACTTTGACCCTCAATAACAAAATTGAAAATAAAATGCCCTGATTTCTGTTCTTTTTATTTAAGAACGAACCGACCTGCCGAAGATTTTCCGTATCAGAAAGGAAAAAGAAAGATATCAAAATCATCTAGATTTGCTTTAATACTTCATTTCTGGTGTTTGATTAACTCACTTGAGTTGCATATCTTTATTTTAATGTTAAATGCAAAAGGCTATTAAATGAAAATGTTCTTATTTCATGACCAATTAGGACAACTATATGCATTTTAAATATAGTGAGTTGAAATGACAAGTCAAAAACTCTATCTTTATTTTAGAATACTCTAGATTTCTTATTTCCAGAGTCTACCTGTTGTACCTCTTTAAACTGATATTCAAAAGGCCGGAATGTATGGTATGGATGACAGCGTATCTTGCAGATTTACCTCCGACAGAGGGCGCTAGAGACTCAGTTGGCACATCAACCAAATGTGAGTTTAACAACCACAGTAAATGTGTCTTATATATATAGTTAATGCAAAAAGTTTCTAGATTAATGATAGTAGAATATCCCTGAGGAACATTATAGTTTAGGGATAATACAAGAATGCTTTGTCTAAGTGTGCATAAAAAACAATATGTCCAACACACAATATATAATACCAATGACAGCCATAGGACAAATATTATAGTAGGCTTTTATGTGTGTTAAAAAGGTATCAACAGAAGTGCATCTACAGGAGTTTGTATTCATTTATACTTTTTTGTTTATTCCCCTTTCTCAGGTCATTAAAAAAATTAGGAGGCTTTTCTCTGCACTAGTCTACTTCAATATATGTTTTTGTTCAACCAGCTATTATTTTTATTACAGATTTTATTTTTAAAAACTACAAGACGCCGTTTGTCTTATTGCTCAAAGGTCTATGGATGGCTTTCCTTATGTTTAACAGCTCAAGCTTTGACCTGCTTGCTATAGCTGTACAATGGTCTGGTTCAATTAGGCTTTGGGCGTATTAGGGTGGGGGGGGGGCGACCCTTTCGAGTGAGGATGGCGCTGCAGTGAAGCAGTCTGACCTCCCACCGGAGGAGTGGCGTTGACAGAAGGATGGTCCAGTAGATAGAGGCGGCAGCATGCCGAGCGCAGTCGTCGCACAATGCAACATAGAAACTTACCCGAGCAGTGGAAGTAGACTTCTTCACCTTCATGCCAACACAGGGTTGACTGCACGAGCGACACAAGGAGCCAAAGTCCAAGAGTACAGTGGTGAGTATTTTACTCTTGGAGCTGTTGACAACTCATTTGTTCAGGCCTTGTGAGCATGTGTGGAGACGCGTCTTGAACGTGGATCAACACAGTTTACCTTCTGCGTGCAACAGCTGCGTGAGGATTTTAGCGACTTTATCGTGCTTTATGTAACTTTGAATGTATTACGAGACATGTGATCTGCACACTCATTAAAAACCTCAATGGATTTATGTGCGATTCCTGTGGCTTGTGCGTAAAGGCGCAGCTGGAGTTTGTTTTGTTTTGGTGAAGCGGCTCAACGAGCCAGTTAGCAGGATTTATGATGTGATAAACTCCGGTGCTGTTTACTGTCCGGTTTTCGAGTCTTCACAGCTTTAATATAAGATACTTTAGTCAGCAGCTTTTTAGCAAAGTGTCTAGAAATTCACAACAGTGTTAGTTCTTGCAAGGTTGTACAATGATCATAGTTTTTCTAATCTTCAATTTGAAAGTGGTGGCACTCCGGGGTCATATTAAGCTGAATTGCGTTTTAGAATTATATCAGTCATTCAAGTTTTGACACTAACAATACAATTAATACCTCTTCTTGTGATCCCTGTGCTTTATAATAACTTTCACAAGTTTTTCATTGTGTCATTGTTGCTCAAGAGACATCCCTTCAGGTGAAACAATGTGGTTATGAAAGACCCTGTGAATGTGCACTGACTGAATCCACAGAGAGCAGAGAAATGACCTCCCCATGTGTTGCTTTGGTAGGTCAAACATCAGCAGCGGCTCTGGTGATCCGCTCTGCTCAGCACCTTCAGTAAGGAGATTTGTCACACGCAACCTGAAGAGATGAGCAGCACCAAAAAGTAAGTGACTTTGCAGTAACACTTTTCACTCTATTCAGAGCTTACTGACTCTTATACTGTATATTTACAATGAGGAGCACCTGTGAGTAAGAGATGAATATAAGTAAAGAATTTATTCTTTCAAATCAGCAGACGAATGAGGCTTTAATGACAAAATGTGGGCTCTAATTACCAAGATGAAATATATATTGTCTAACGCTGATACCAGATGAGCTGCCTTTGACATATTTCAAATAAAGTTAAAAGTTAAATCAAATTTTATGTAACTAAAATCTACATTGTGCACTAGCCTAAGAAAATCTCTGTGTATTGCAAAACTACATAGAGTGGGACACTGTCAACCTCCTTAAAGTTTATTTTAAATCTGACCATGTTGAATTTAAGCATAAAGATTTAAGACGGGATTGACCATCTAATTTCTTATACCCTGAATGTACCATCTGTGCTGCTCTAATGCTGCACAATGCAGGTTGTGATAGAGAAGCCTGACATCAGTATATATGAGATTTTCCAAGAAAACAGGCTTTGTTTAACAAATGTTATACGTTTAAAAGCAGACTACTACTAATCCGCAGAGATAGACTTTTTAACTTGAGGGGAATCTGGAGCCTTGATGACACTTTATTATTGTGACTTTATTGTGGCGGCTGTCAGAAATAATTCCTCAAATTCTTGTCCATGCTCGTGCAAATGAAACACATTTTAGCACCAAAGCTTGAATTAATTACATCATGTGGTTATACATATCAAATATCAAAAGAGGGAAAAGGCAGATGGAAAACCCAGAGGAAATTTTAGGAAAATCTGACAAAAACATCAATTGAGTATTTGAAAAAAAAACAAAAAAACATTTATTTTTTAATTTATCAAGAGGATTTCCAGGATGTTATGTCCCAGCTGAATGAAAAGTTGTTGCCCATGTCACCCCCATTCTTTTGATTTACAGTTAAGTAAGTTTTTGCTGTGGTTTGTCAGACAATTACCAAGAAACTCTGAATAGTTACCTCATGCACACTGAACCACTGACAGCTGAAAGCCTAGTGCGGGTATTATTTAACCTACACTTTCGGCATCCCTTTAGTGTGTGGAGGGGTTAAGTGAAATCTGATATCTGATGACATTTTGCCTTCATTGCATGAGGGATTACACTTTACAAACATGACTGGAGTACAGTATATATATCTCTTGCCATGACTACAGCAGAACCTGTATACCATAACATAGACACAGTTAACAGTTGAATCAGCTCGGGCACAGAGAACACACTCTCCTCTCCAAACAGATAGTGTTTGTAGTATGTAGATTACAGTAGAGAAAACTAGAATACAAGGGCAGGGAGACTGATACCTTATCTGTGAAGTGTCAGACAGATAGTAGCTGATGTACCATCAGAAGTGCAAAGTAACAGCTTTGAAGTTTTGAATGCTTGCATACCTTGTCATAGAGTGTTTTAAATGGTTAGCTATTGACCACCAATACATGCATAACTTAATTACTGATTAAAAGACAAATCAGATACTTTTACACTGTTATCAGAAGAGATATTTTAAGCATCACTCATTCCTTGGTTGCCTGTTCCTTTACACTTTCCTCTTATGAAAAAAGATATTGGCCTCATAAGCTCAAAATTGAGATATTTCCTGTGTAGAAATAAAGGATTATTTTTATTTTACAGGTAGACATAAAATGTAAAATCGTTTTTACAATATCACATTTTCTTAATCCCAAGCCCAAAAAAAATCATTTCAGAACTTCAATCAAGTCAAGGACAATTACAAATCCTTACATTTGGTATCAAATTCTAGAAAATCAATATTGTCTTTTCAGTATTGGAGTCAGTGTTACTTATATCAAATGTGATGTGGAAGTATACCTAAACACAAAGAAAGTCACTTTGTTTTGAGGCCTAATAAATCATATTTAAATACAATTTACAAGGCTTCAATGCAGGTGACTTCTTTTTTTTCCCTAAGTGTTAAAATCAACGGGATGTCTCTTTTTTGTTCAAACTAGGGATCATAGCAAAGACAAGGTTGACCTTTTTTTTTAGAGTACTGTTTTGCTGATTTATCAAAAAAAAATGAACAACCAAAAGCAAGCAAATAAGAAAGTGCATCAGGTCCCATTCATTTTAATGTACACAATGAAACCAGCAACTAACCACCGACAGATATTTGTAGAAAATAAGCCAAATTTGAAAATTCTGAAGAAAAAAAAGAATATAAAGAACAAAATGACACAGAGCCAAAAGATCTGGTGTCCTTCAAAGAGCTGTAATTTCCATTTCTAGATTACAGTATAATCTTTATAGCACAAGGTTATCAATTTGGTAGCATTACAGAACCACAAAGACCAGATAGTCTGCCAACTCATTTAGAATAATATTTCCTTTCTGCTACTGCAAAGGCTCTGCAAACTTTCCCTGTATAGAGTTAATTCTGGTAGTTAGCCGCTTGTTTTTTCCCAAGCACAAAAACATTCTAGGAAAAGAAGAGTTCATGTAAAAGTGACTCAGTACAAAAATAGTCTGCAGGTTAAAGCAATGTGGAAAAAAGAGCCTGCAAATTATCTTTTTATGTGGTTTGAATTAAGGAGGGAAGCATTCTGGCAAATGTAGGAAATTACTTTTTCAAGTAAAAGACAACACAGAACATCAAAAAAAGAACGTCTAGATTAAAAAATATTGATCTGTACATATCATCAGAAATTGTTATGAAGCAACAGTTAAAGTGGATTCATACTTAGTGGCCTCACATAAAATCAAAATCTTAAACATTTCTTACTTGCTAAATAAGTGTACACAATATAAGCACAGAGTCGTCATGCCCATTCAAAACGTATGGGTGTGAGGAATTTTGCATGATTTAACTCAGACTTTCAGACAGATCGAGAAATAATAACCGTTTTGCTTTTGAGTATAAATGTTACAAAATGCAGAAAAGGGCATCACTCTTCTTTCCTTTTTTTTCCTGAGAAGGACCCCTTGACCCCGCTCTTACTTAGTCCCCAGAATGTTGACTTGCATGATGCCCCTGTATAAGCATATATTAAAAAAAAAAAAAAGGGGAGCTGGTCCTGCTATGTCCATGATTGTTCCATAGGTGGCAATGGAGGATGTGGACGGCCAGTACTAGTAAGACAGCAGAGAACTCAGCCTTTAAGAAGTGCATTACTTTTGAAATTACCTTTGAGTATTTATCAGTGTGTTTTATTTTGAGGCAAAATTATGAAATTGACCCAAATTCTATAGTGAAGTGAAAAAAACATTAGCAAAGAAGCAAAAAATGTTTCTCTTTTTCATCAATATAAAAGTAGTTCACAGTCAATGAATGATATCTATTAGTATATTGATTTTTAAAAGAGAGAATACATTTTGATCCTGATCCATCCTCGAACAGAACCCTGAACCCCAACCATCTTAAAGAGTATTGTTCTGCAGCTCACCATTGACACTGTAGTTTCCAGGGTACTTAACCCATGCTGTCAGGTCCACTATGACATACAATGGACTTAGCTGGAGAACACTGATGACAGTATGAATGATACCATCATATTAAATGTATATCTCCTCAATACCTACACAGTAACAAAATAAGAGGACGCAAAGTGAATTGTTTAAGTAAATAATGCAAAGACAAAAACTCAAAGAATCAACACTTTAAGTGATTCCTTTGCTCCTACTAGTCTTCTTCCTCCTTCTAGTATCAAAATGACAAATGATTAATAATACTGAAGAAATTATTTCTGAATAAGCTTTACATTTATAAAAGCAATTCCGACCCAAACACCATATTCTTGATTCAATTTCATAAAAAATTGAAGACAATGACGAACCCTTTGACTTTTCTGTCGTAAAACAATAAAAAATGTTGTTGCAATTGTTTCCCAGAAACAGCCACTTTGTCTGTGATCCCATTAGGATAAACCCAGGGCTTAAGTATTCCAGTATTACTTACAACATGGCATGTGTGGGATGTGTTATATGTGTTGGTTAAAGGGAGTGGGGGGACTCTTTGGCTGGATTTGGATAGCTCTGCTAACATTTTTTTTTTTGTTATCCGTACATGTTCTTTAACACTTAAATATGAAGAAGTTTTTATAAGTAAGAGGTGAAAATGTGGTGTTTGTGTACGTAAATAAAAACAAGGATTTGTTAATCGACTGTTAGGGAAGCCCCTTACTCATCATTGAGCTGACTCAATATATTCTCTTAATAACCAAACACCAAAAAACCCATCTCTTCTGATATGAAGCCAAAATATTTCATCACTCTGTGACGTTTGTTTTGAACACCCCCCCCCCCCCCCAGGTGTGTTTGACGTGAGGACAAACTAGCGTAGAGACGTCTTAGAGAGCAACGGAGGCTGTGACGAGCCCAGCCGTCACGGGCCTGTGTGTGTCTTGTCACTTAAGTAAAGCCGCCGTAATCCTGTAAGGGAGGATGAGTAGACAGACATGTGATGCCCCACTTGTTTCTTAGGTAAAGGGTGGTGTAGAGAGGGGGCTGGCAGGCATTACTGACCAGATGGACAGGCTTTGTAGTGTGTGTGGGTGTGGGACTGATTAGACACAACAAGTACTGATACTATTTCAAACGTGTTGTTCTAAAAACATCTTGATGTTTCTTATAACTGATTAAGAGACAGTGCCAGGTGCACATTTTGATAGGTTCAGGTCTCAGTCAGTGGGGCGTTTCATTTTTTTTGTTGCGCATGAGCAGCAACAGTCAATCCGGCCATCAAACTCAATTAGCAGAGACTTCCTGTCCTCTTCCTCAACCCCCCTCCGCCAGATTAAATCCATTGCATCGTACCTAAGGACTGCACACTTTGCCCTCCTTAAGGACGACACACATTTTACCGAGTGTGGTTGACTTACTGAAAAGCGGAGTTAAGAGGTAGTCTGTCCATGAGTTTTTAATGGGTGGAGATGAGTGCCACCAGTAGCACCAGACTGAGCCCCAGTCCCAACTTACTGCAGGTGAACGAGCCAAAGCGATATGGCTCTACGTTGTCGCTGGAGGAGAAATGTGAACAGTCTTTCTTCCTCTTTTACTACTACAGGATGGAGGACGAGGCGGTGCTGGACCGGGGGGCGTCCTTACTAAAGCACATGTGTGACGAGGAGGAGGTAGAAGGTAAGTTCACCTGCTTCTGTACCTTAAAATGTATCTGCTTGTGTTAGGAAAAAAAGATTTTACTTTACTCAGAAATTCAGTAAACTCTCATATTCTGAGTACACAAACATGTTTGGGGCCCTTTTCTCTTTTCCTTAACAACCTAGTTCTTCTTAATTGTTTAAGTTCAAAGTGAGGCCACTCATGAGCGAAACAGGAAGGGCGAGATTAAGCTTTTTAGAGGCTGCCAAATTTCGCTCACTTCCTGCACGTAGACTGTGACGGCTCACCTGTTTTTTGCGAGCTGGCATGGGAAAGATGTAGAACGCTAAGCATGTGATCCTGTGTTTACCTCACTAATCCCTACAAAGACATACAGGAAAACAAAGGAGAAAGGACAACAACCAACCAGTGTTCTTGAACGTCTTTTTATTCTGTTGGTTTTTATCTTGCTTTTGAGTTTGTATATCTAACTTTTACTCACTAATCATTTCCTCGCCAACTATCTAATAAATGTTCCAATTTTACCATGCTGCTGATGGTACTTTATGTTGCCGAGACAAAAGGTTAGGTTTAAATGGTGATGACATCAGTGTGCACCACACGTCGCAAGTTTCTTGGTTCACGTCCAGCAGATTAAAGAGGCAGACATTGGGCCAGTTTAACCATCCAAGAGCCTGATGTTTTGTTTTGTTGTTTTGGCCAATATATTCAAAGTGCATCCAGCACCAACCTTTTTTTCTGTTGATAACTACGATAACTTCCAGACCAATATAAGAACAGAAACCCAGATTCATTTTTTTTTTTTTTTACCTGACTTAACCTAGAAAACTGAAAATGAACCTTTCAAACTGTGCATTACAAATTCACTTTCTAAAAGAATCTATAAAGTTGATTGCCTAAAGGTCATTACTACTACAGTAGAAAATGTAAACTTTGTGTACAACAGATCATGTATCATTACAAACAAGCAGCCATTGGTTTTTCATTTGTTTCTGTACAACAAATATCTATTACACTCTTGAAACACGAGTTTCATAGCAGTCAAAATGGAGTCAGCATTATTTACTCTAGATATTAGTGACCAGATATAAGGTGCAGACTTCTTAAATCTTAAATAATCATGTTAAAAAGGTATTGTATATTTTTTTGATGAATTTTTGAAACAACCTTCAGAAGTCTACTTATTGAGTTATGTATTATCCTTACATTTCTGAAGTAATTGTTGGAAATAAGGAAGTCCCAAGGCTATGTCAATTCAACACAAATTTAAATTCAGACTAAAGTTAAGAAATTGAGCCAGATTTATTTAACATTGCAAAATAGGGATCACAGCGTCTGAAGGTAAATTATGTCAAATTGGTTTGCCGAGTGTGGCTAACATTAGCTGAGCTAGCATTGCCAGACTTTCGTGCTTCCTAGAAGGTTGATATCCATCAGTCTGTGCTGGATATACATTGCTCTGGTTGAGTGTTTTCATTCCAGTTATGTGTTACCTGACACAGCTTACATACAACTTATCTCCATTTTCTAGATCTAAATAGACTGCTCGGAAGAGATGCCATTTGGCTGGCTGATAAGACATCAATTTAGTAACTGGGATGTACACATGATTACTCAACAGTGGAATTTGCACAGCAGTGTCCCTCGTGCTGGAGAGGTCAACATTTTGTCAGGTGTCACCTCAGCTTGAACCCTGCTTCAATCTCTCCAACTTCCTGTGCACAACCAGCATCTCAGCTGTGTCTGCATGTGTCCTTGTCTGCTCGCTAAATCTCTTTTTTTTTTGAGTCTCCACTGAGGTCACAATCCTCCCCGCTGCTCGCTCACTGCCAACAGCCTGATTTAAAGACAGTCTGAAGTCTGACTGATAAAAGAGCAACAAGGGATGAGTTGGCTTGACATTTCTCACATTGTACAAGGTAAAAGTCAAGGATCTGTTGTCCGAAAGCCAATTCATCTCTCTCTGACACGGATTAGTCTTTGGCTTCTTCCTGAGCAAAGCATTTGGTGTCAAACTCTTTATAACAGACAGTGTTAAGGCTCAAGATAGACGGTTCAGTAATGTATATATTATGTGACGTGACCTGCTACAGCTAATTTAGAAGTAAAGAGGGAAGGCAATTATTTCTTCTGACTAAAAGTCAAATTACAGGACCCCCTGGTTTCATTTAACGATACATTTTTAAAGCAGTGTTCTATTAGCATGCTGTCAGTGCTGTGTGGCGTGTTGCCACCCTCCCCACTGTTCTGGGCAGGTCCCAAGCGGCCACAGTTACTGGGGAAACTGGCGGTGGCGTTGCCTCTCCTCAGAAATCTTGCGAGCTAAACAAACCTCCAGGCGAACACAAGAATTGCATGTCATTCAGAGTGTGCTTGCGGGCAGCTCCAAAAGAACTTCTTCTTCCTCCAAAAAAAGGAGAGGAAGTCGTTGCACAATACTGCTCGGGCAGTGTGCAAATCTTCCTTTCCAGTTCCTTGACTTGACCATTTTTTATTCCTTCACCTCCATCACTCTCTTCTCATTCTTTCGCCTTTTTTCTTGTTGTGGTTCAGCTTGTGCAAACGTCTTCACCCTCTGCTTTATTGCTCATCTATCACCTCTAATAGCTCTGTGGTCCTTATTTCTACTGTCTGTTCTCTTCTTTGTCGCTATCCAGCCATCTGCTTCTTGGTCCTGTGATACCCACATGCTGGATTACAAACCCTATTGCTTTCAATGGTCTACGCTTCTTATAAATTAACTCAATTTATTTGGGTTTTGTCCTTGTTGTTGTTGTTGTGTTGTTGTGTAACTAGAAGGACTTTGTTACAGATAAAGAGAGTGAAGCTATTCGTATTACTGAATAAGTGCTGTTCCATTCCCAACATTCATTTTAGGCAGTTATAAACTGAGTGTTTTAGCTTTAAAATTCACAAAACAACAAGATAAATAGTACATATTGAAACCCCCAGGATTTCTGTGCCTTCTTTAGTACTGATACTTCGCCCTTTCTTTAAAACTCTGAATAAAGTAGTTTCAAGTATAAAGCTGGTGCTACAGTAACTCGGCTTGTTTTTAGATTCTCAGCCTTGTTAGTTAGAAAATCTGTGTGGCTCGAAGTTGGCTCATTCTGTGTTATACTGATTTCTCAGTTTCCCTGATCTGTTTCTTGTAGAGCAGATAAATTCTGTTTTTATTGTCATCCTTTCTGGCTGGCAATGCAGGCATGGTTAAGCTGTAAAAGATTGATGTTGTGTTTTTATATTTTACCGTAAACAGGGACCAGGTACCTTCTTTGTTGAACCTAAAAGCCTTGAGAGCAGCAGCTCTGCTGTGGGCAATGTGGGTCTGTTTCTCCTCATACAGAGTGTCTCCTCATTTGACAAAGTTAAACCAACAGAACAATTGAATCTTCGACTGAAGACGAAGATTACTTGCAATTTTGAATGTTCTTCTCGATATTCCGTTGTCACATCAGATGATCCGTGTATGACGAGGCTTATTGATGATGAGGCGTATCACGACGATAATCCTAAACTAAGACTGCATTACAGCATCGGCAGCAAGCAGCTCCATGAGTTTAGTTTAGTTTGACATGAGTGTTGCACATCAATTGGTGCCTTTACGGGAGGGACTTATGTACAGCGGACCTCTCTCTCTCTCTCTTGCTTGTTCCCGCTGTCTCTTTCTCAGTCTCTCTCCCCCTCTCTCTGTTTCGAGATCACTCTTCTGGCAATTTATGAATAAACAAAAAAGGTCAGTAAATATATTTGGGTGGCCATAAATATAGGTTCCTTGGGCGGCCTGCCCAGGTATCATCTATGCGTAGGAAACACTAAGCATTGTTAAAAGGAATGGAACATTTGTCAGAGAGAAGTAGAAAGTGAAACTTAATAAAATCTTCCTTCTTATTTAAAGTTTTCTTTCTGCTCCACGTTAGCACTTGGTGCTGAACCGTTGGTGTCAGTGAATTTAGATGAACCCTGAGAGAACAAGGCATTGTGGTACAAGTGAATAATGAATGCTGTTGTGCTTCAAGAGAGATCATTGTTTGTGGTGTTGAGGGGTTCAGACACTTCCTGGTCGAGTCATGTGCAGTGCTTGGCTCAGCGTTACCCGTCGTCTTTCAAAGGCAACATTTGAAACTGATTGTGTGGAGCCTTTTGTTTCAGATGGACTTTTTTTTGTAATCTGTGCAAGGTTGCATTTGAAGTCTCAGGAAAGATAAACTTTGGTGGCCTTTTCCAAAAAATACCAATTCATTACTTGAATATCCCTATATCAGCAGGTCCCAGTAGAGTAGATATTATAATAAAATATACTTTTTTTTCCCAACAATATCAACATAACACCAAATAATATGTGAATTAATTTCCCCTAGAATCTTGACCTACACTAGTAATAAGTTCAGGTATTGCATGTTGGTTAGGAATAACTTCACTGAATCAGATAACTCGCCACAATGTCTAAAAAGAGATTCAAAGCACATTGGTATTATTGGGTTACTGCTTCAAGCAAACAGACTGGTCTGCTTGCAGGGTCCAACATTAGTACCTACCACTTACCAAATGCAGGTAAAAATCTAAATTGGTTCGTTTGAATAAAATAATGGAAGTTGGGTGCCAATGGCAGGTGCCCCCATCCGTCCAAAACATAATCTTATTTGATGACATCTTTTATATTTAAACAACTTGGTCCATCGCTGCATGACCATCAGTAATTGTAACACACTCTTTTACTGACACTTGCTGTCCAACATCGGCTCACTCCTGTTTTTAGTGAGCCCATTTCTTCAAAACTGTGTGTTTACATTTTCACATTTTCAAGTTGTGTTGCAACGTTTGGTCAGTATCCTTAAGCTTCCAGAAAACATGCAGAATTATGGATGTAATTAATATAGAGAACGGGCAGAAGTTTTCATCTGTATGTATATCGGACGTAGAGCTTCATTAACCCCTTTATTGGGACTGGTTTGCTAAGGCAGCTAATAGTTTCCATATTGTGGAGACCACCACTATAAGCCTTGCTTCCATTGCAA